AGCATACAAACCAAATATTCAAAAATATTAACTGTTCTATAGAATTAAAAATTAGAAACAACTAATCATTACAAAAATAAAGAATGCATAAGCATTTACGAAAATTTATGTAGCTTGAACATTATCAATCGTTTCTTTTAAAAGCAATATGAATTTTATATACATTTTTACGTTTAAAACAATGTTTTAGTTTTTAAAAAATTTCTATACTTTTTATAAGGTTTAATACGATGTACCTGAATCATAGTGCAAGGATATCTTAATATCATTGCATAGCATACCGAATATGCATGACGCATTATGTGATGCAATTATTACATTAGAATTTAAACAAAAACTTTCATAACTGAACAATTTTTAATTTGATAAATTTGCAAAAGTAAAAGAAAAATGATTATAAAACTAAGAATTTAAACAAAAGGAATTTAAATCATTTTATCACTAGGCATATGTATACAGGTAATCTAGATTTGCGCTGGTTTAATTTGTTCCATTTAGACGAACCGAACAATCAGGCAACACGTTAGAAAACGATCAAAAATGAGCATCATAAAATGAAAATCGTATTAGAACGCTCTTTTAAGATTATATTATTATTTAACAGTCTTTTCATGCTATATAAGAAACGAAACATAGAGAAAAAAAATTCCCTTCATTTTTATCCAGGCTATTCGATACTTAACAGAAAACAGCCCTCGTACTTCAAGTTATTAATCACATACAATGTTGAAGTTCAACAAAATCCGATTTAAAATGTTTAAAAGGAATTAAATTAAACTGATTTTTTATTTTAAAATTTTAGAAGTTAGCCAAGTTTATCTTTAATTTTAAATCAGCACGGTTTAATTGCTGTGATATAATATCGGTAAAGTATGTATAAATATTAAATTGTTTTTATGTACAATAATTCCACGAACTTTCAACATTACGTAAAAATAAAAATAACTACCAGAATTTCCCGAATTCCTGCTGAAACTTAACAACATATTTTAATCTGGCAAACTAAAAATAACCTGAGCTCGTTAGTATGTGTTTATAAATTGCATTTATAAAATGTAAAACCTTTGCTCTAAAGCAAATGTGTGCAAATGCTTTTAACTACGGAAAAAAAGGTATTTTTGAGTGTCTCATGTGGAAGAGCCGTCACAATGTGCAATGTGTTTGGGTGACGATGTGCTTATGCGGTTCTTCTGTTATTTTTCAAAACTCTATGTGGGCATACGAATATCCCTCCTGTAATAAGAAGACCAAATGTATTAATTAGGTGGTGTGGGTTAAAGGATTATTAAATGTGAATTCAAATGAATTCCTTACTTAGTAGACTGCGTTGTGGATGCAATAAGCCATAATACTTACAAATGTGCAGATAGAAGTGTGTGATCTTGAAAAGAAATATGAAATCAAAGTGACTTACCTCAAAGGATGATAATTCAGATATCACAAAATCAATTAATTTTTATTCTTTCTAAATATTTTATTTTTCTTATTTTCTATTTTTTATTTTTCTTATTTCTTTCTTTTATTCTGTTAATAAAATTCTAATAATTTCTTCATTTCTAAATAAGCATTTATATAAATTAAGAAACTACCAGCCAGACAGACGAATGTAGGCCTTAAAGAAAATCAGGATTGGAATATCTAGCACATGTAATGCGCATAACCAAAAAAACGTTGCACTCAGATTAAAGTTAATCTTTTTCCATCAGTGTGAAACAAAGTGTCGGTGAAAAAGGAACAGTCAAAATTTAACGGTAGTAATTAAGCGTACTTGATTAACCATGGCATTCTTTTTCTTTCCTTCTTTAAATCAGGAAAGGATTATACACGAAGACTTCTCAAAAGGATAAAGTGGTTGAACAAATTATTCAGCATCGACCGAAGCAGCAAACGAGAAAAAAAAAAAAAAAAAAAAAAAAAAAAAAAAGGGCTCATCGCATCGGCCAGAGTGAGGACATCCAGAGGCCGTCTTACACCTCCGAACCCCAACCGGTTGTTGCAACCTTTTTCGCCTTGTCCTTGTGTGGTTGCGGTTAGCACACCTGACGCTGAATAATGTGGAGGCTTGCCTGCACACCTTCCCGGTAGAAATATTAAAAGAAATACAATTTAAAACAGCATTTTATGCATTAAATGTTTTACTTTAAATGTACAGTGGCGGCAATGGTCCCGCATATAGGTCAACCAATGAAATATAAAATGCACACCTAAATTTCAAGGAATATGAAAACTTCAATGTCAGATTGTGATTATTTCATCTAAATTAGGTTCCAAATCACTTGCAGCACACATCCTAATACCGAATGTAAATTTTCATCGGTAGTTTGTGATCGATATTTATTTATCGTGTACTTCATCCAGGAAAGTGTTCTTTACATATGCATAACGATTCAAATAAACTTAAATCATTTTTGACTTTGCCTAAGCTCGTTTTTATCAGTCTTATCTCAATAATATTCATAGTCGTTACTTAATTTATACATTTAATCTTCTAGAAATGATAGAACTATATATTCTTCGAAAGATGTACATGCTTTCTAACATATTTGAAGTGTAAGTTGTTCTAAAACGTGATGAATATTAAGTTACTTTTACTCTAAAAATTAACTACATTTGGGAAAAACAGTCTCGAAATGTACAGGTCACTCAAAATATTTTCGAACATTTAGCAAAAAAATTTGCAAAATTATAGGAGATTTTAAAAAGAAACGAATAGTTTCATTACCTAAAAATCAAGAATAATAAGGAAAACTCAGACATTTTGAATTTATGGCTATTATTCGAATTCGTTAAGCATTTTAACAAATGTGAGGCATTCCATTATGTATTCCTGTGCATAACCGCTTCCATTAAACTAGAGTTTTAACTGAGATAAATAATTAAATACGTAAGGAAATACCCACGCTTATCGAAAAGAGGGCGGGGAATCCTTTAGTGTCCTAATAAATGTGGCACTTGATGTGCTAAGATGATGTTAACACATAAAGTAATTAAACTCGATTTAAAAATTGAAGCCCAACTGAAACTTTCTTTAATCACTATAATCACAATTTTAATCGTAAAATATTCTAAGCTAGCTAACGCTTTAAAAATAATTCTCCAACTTCAGAAAAGTGGCTACTTATGAATTAATTATGGGGTAAAAGGGCGATAACTTTTCATCGTGGTCAAAAATTTTCTACGTCGTAACCTTCTTTTGATTTCATAAAAGAATTTAATGTCTGTTATTTGCTTAAATGTAATTTTGCAATTTGCAGCTCTAGTACGTGGAAGCATGGAAAGTCATTTAAGATATACGAAGAACAATTTACAGTAAAAAAAATTAACACGTTATTTTAAGTGTGTAATTTGAAAGGAAGTACTTATGAAGACACAGTGTGATTGTTAAATGGCATAAAATCAAAGCAAAATTATTTTGGGAATGTAATTTAATACCAATCCCCATGTTTTATTAGAATTTCCATTAATAAGTAATCTTTATTCGAAACAAATACACGCACTTTTGGAAATAAATTTAAATGGATTAGAAATTTTGACTTGTTTTTGAATTTATTAGAGCAAACGTGCACTGTTACATCGTATTGAGATTATATGAATTTGATATAACTATTGTGTTGCCTTTAATCTGACATTAATTAGCCCAAAATAACGTTAACCCAGAAGGACTATTAGTCTCAAAACAGGATTTTGTGTTGAATCCCTATAAAAGTCTGAATTAATTTTCAAATTGTTGTCATCAATATTATTGCCCTGTATTATATTTAAAGAAATTAAATAACGAAGAATTTGCATGCATGCATGTTTTTCGTATGGTGAAAGAACTACTGTACCTAGAGCCATCAAATTTTGAATAACGTAGTCCTCCACACGAATATGAACACCGGGGAAGCCCGAATTTTGAATTTCAATTTTTATGGCATATTTCATATTTTGAAAAACTTTAACAAAATCAATGATTTCGAAGTGAGCAATGGTAACACACAGGGAAAAAAAAAAAAAAAAAAAAAAAAAAAATCTCAAGCGCAAGAGACTGTATTGTAAATTCTAACGACAGGCTGGTTTACAGAACACTAGCCCAAATGCTCTCGAAATGTGTATGTGCATGTAAATGAAACAAACACGTCTTTGGGCGTAATATAAAATGTGAAAGCTTTCATATTTCATCATGTTTTGCCCTTAGAAAACGAATATTAAAAAAAGGCCTAAATATAGAAATTAAATATCGTTTTTAGCAGGGGCAGAACAAACAAGAATAATAAAACTTCTCATATGCTTTTTTCCATGATAAAAATGCTTTTGGTTGCTGCTGAACTACTTCATAACTTATTTAGTCTAGATGAGATGTATTGAGACAGATTTACACCTGAAGAGTTTACATGATAAATAAGGTAAATTCGTTAGTACAAAGGGAGTTGAATTTTATATTAATCTTTAGGTCTCAGAGACTTTACTTGATAAATTCAGGTTAATTAAAATGTAACATTCAGATTTAGTAACTGGAATCGAAAGTTAGAAATTGGTTTGATACCAAATTTTCGTCTAAATTATGAATTCAAATATTCCCGTTAATGAAACCACTAAACTGAGCAATGCTTTGAATTATAAAATTTCTACAATGAAATCATTTCGATTTATACAAAATTAATTTAATCTCGCTGACTTTACCTTTGAAAGAAATGCTGATTCTTCCTTCTCATTCTTTGTAAAGACATGTTAGATACATTAATGTAATTTATATACGCTTTTTGAACTGCTGCTGCCAACAATATCACTGAATTATGTTCTCAATAATATATACACAGATCTTCAGTATCTCCTGTCACAAATACTATATTAATAATGCTTCAGGGCTCTCGGCATTCTACAGATTAAGATATTTTCTGAGCAGTTAGAGATCCTGGTCAGATAATTCTAAACTACTCAGTAAATTCACAACGGCGATTTAGACTTAATTTAGCATAAGAAATTAGTGACAAATTGAGACAAATCTGAGGATTACTCACTGGGTCTGCACTTGTAAGCGACTTCTGCGTATTTCCGGACTCCAGGACACGGGTCATTACCAAATGTCTGCGGGGATGTCTTAACTTTGCAGATACGCTGTTCCCGGCAAGATTCTTCCACCGTCTGCAAGAAATCGTACTAGAAAGAGTGATCAAAACTATCCGAACGTTAAATACAAAGAATAGCATTGAGAAAGCACACACCAAACACACACAAAAAAACATAACTACGTGCAAAATAAGAGCACTGAAGTGGATAATAAGGCATTGCATTATCAATTGTTCTACTTTAATTATAAACAATACATTATGTACTAAGGATAACAGTCGCGATTAAAAAATAATTGAAAAAACTAATGCTCGTGACTGTGGACATTGCTGTATATTATTCAGATATTTTTTCCTTGAGTTTTATAAGAATACGTTTAAAAACTTTTACTAACAATTCATGGCAATAATGTAAACTTTGTGCACAAATAAGAAAGTACATGGTATAAATAAAAAGCTAATAAAAAATTAATAAATTCTATGAAATACAGAACACGGTAATGTTAGTACTTCCATTTATTCTGCTGCTTTTAATGTGCTAGTAAAGACTCTCATCCGAAACGGTATACACCACGTTATTTCCCTACGATATTCGAGAGATAAACTTAATAAAAAAAGAAGAGAAATAGACGGTAAAATGCAACATATCAATATTTAGCAGCCTTTGCTCTATTAAATTATATTTATTACATAGTATTTATTTATTTATTTTGCTAACAGCAAACCATAAGAGAGATAGTCGGTAAATAATCCTTATATAAGTATGGCGATAAAATATTCAATAACCTAAATTGATTAAAACTGAAAAGTTTATGTTGATAGTTCGGACGCATAAAAACACTATCTTCAGTAAATTACGGCATGCATAATTTAAGTTTCAAGCCTGATTAACTGAACTTTAAAGTTTTGGGATATTCCAGCGTTAAAATTTGGAGCTCGGAATACTCAGATTTCGAGCTTCAGTATTTGGAAAGTGTGAAGTAGTCACAAACTGTAGGGTGGAAAAATTAAATTAATAGAAGCACGTGGTAAATTAATCCGATTTTCTTTTGACATTCATTCAAAAAAAATTGGTTACTCCCGAAAACAACGCGGACGAAAACGTCGCGGAGAAAACAACGCAAGGAGAAAACGTCGTGGTACCAAAACATTGTGGGGAGAAAAGAAAGCAAAGAGACAAATAACATCGCAGTTCTAAAACATCGCGGTATAAAATATAGTCCTTGTTTCACGGAGGAATGGTGTAGACACTACCCATATCGAACAAAATTAAAAAATTACTTATTATGTGTGCACAAAGAAATCACAAAGGATATTTCTAAATTTAAAAAAAAAAAAAAAACAGTTGAGCTATATGAAGAAATTTAAGTAACAAGTAACGTAAAAAATTTTGTCACAAATAACTTTAAGGTAAATCTTTAAATTATAATAAAAAGGCAATAAAGTTAAGCAAGATATTAACATTAAATTATTAAAAACATGTTCATATCAGATAAGAATTTAAAAGTATAGTGAAACAGTCGAATAATGAAGGAAGCATCTGGTGAAAGCCTTTCGAGCCGGTGGACAAATATCCTGAAAGGGAGACAGATAGCAATTGGAAGAATAAACATAAAGTAGGTATAACTTCCTTCGGTGACAAATTTAAAAGGGCAAAACAATAAAAAGGCGCGTAAATAATGGATAAGTTTGAGCAATTTGAAATATTAAATTGACACCGGTCCTGCCAAAAGGCATAACAAGGTACAAAATATGTGCATATATGAGAGGAGATATATACGTAACATAATAAGCATAGTTACAATATATAACAACAAGTGCTAAGGTTTATTTTGGAAAGGCCTTTTCAGGGCTACCCTTTTAATTTCGACGATGGTTAATTTCGTCTCCTCGTCCACATGCATCATTACAATGACTGACATTCATGCTAGGACATGGGAGACTTTTTCCGGTATTGCCTACTGAGCCTCAAACTCCAACGTGAGGTCTTCGAATATATTCGAAAAATAAAGCGGTTCAAAAACTTCGCATCTTAAAAACATCGTCGTCTAAAGCATTGTGGTAAAAAATAAAGCATGTAGAAACCATCGCATGACGATAACATTGCACGCATAACGTTTTTCAGTTTTTAAACGTTGTAAACGTTTAAAAACGTCGCATATAGATTTGGAAGCGTAAGAAATATTATTAACTACACTTCAAGAATAAACGGAAACAAAATAAGATATAATTTTCACCAAATCATTATCAGATTAGCAAATGTGAAAGAAAGTAATTTGATAATTAACTAAGCAAATTTTATAGAGGCAACCTCACGCAGTTATTCATCTTCCTTTTTCTAAACACTTATAGGCTGTATTTTTCATGAAAACTCATAAGCAAAACTTTATAAAAAAAAGATTAATTTATTAATGACCTTTGTAAATTAACTACGTACATTTAAAATTCTCGAATGTGCTTAAGTTGCATTAATTTTTTACTTATTTTCAATTTTTAAGTACTTAACTTTCCCTCTTACTTTTTCAGTAAAAATTTATTAGTTCATTCAAAAATGTGAAATATAAAAGTAAAAATATCCCTCTTTTCTTCTTGCGTTCCCACATCATTATGCGAAAATGCATTTGCAGCTTTTAAAACCTGAAAAATGCATGCGCGCGATGTTATCGTCAAGCAATGATTTGTAGTTATTTTATTTTTTACCACGATATTTTCGATGGCGATGTTTTTATACTGCAAAGATTTTGAGCCGCTTTATTTTCGATGATGATATTTTGTGCCACGATGTTTCAGAATTGCGATGTTTTCTCTTTGCTTTCTTTTCTCCCACAATGTTTTGTACCACGAAGTTTTCGGCTTGTGTTTTTACCTCCGCGATGTTTTCGGCAGACACCGAACAGATCCACACAAGCCTGTGTTTTTCTCCTTCAGTTCCGTTTTACATCTCATATTAATAATGTGTTATTTACGTACAATATAATAAAATATCGCACCTTATATTATATGTATTTTGCATTAAAATCTTGATTCCCAACTGAGTTTCTTTTATCTTCAACGATTTTTTGTACATTAAACATTTATTACTCGGAAACTTCATATATTATTCTAAAGATGGTCTGAATAACATTCAGGTAAAATTGGAAATTTATCCTTCCATATCAAATAAAATTAAACTTACATCTTACATTAACGGTAAAAGACATCTTACTTCCTTGATTAAAATTCATGGAATAAGATTCATAAGGATTCGCAGAATAAGCTAGTTAATGTCCTGTCGCTTCCAGCATAAATGCATTTCCTTACAAATATGTAAATAACAACATTCTGCAAAAGTTCCTTTCACTGTCTAATAGATTTTTAGATTTGTTTGCTAACAAATGCTTGTTAACGGTTCCTTGAGATTCACGTTTTATTTACATTTCTTAATTCAGAACTTTTCAACCGATGCCGGTGATACTCGTTTTCATTTAGATCTAACAGACATTTAGAATGCACGTAATAGATCTTTAGGAACTTTTCTGAACCGTTTGTTTCTGTGCATTAGTGGAAGACAAATAATTAGGATGCAGTGATCGAAATATTTAAGATCCCGTAGGGCACGTCGAAATACATTAAACCTTTCTAAAGTCGAAAAGCCTCAATAGCCATGGAGTTGATAGTGAATTCTATGCACAGACATAAAATTAATTATATATAGGTAACATTAGCTGAAAGAAAGGAATTTGATGCTGTAAACATCGATTTCAATCAAACATACTCAAAATTGTTTAAAATATTCTCCAATGACAACTGTAACTATTTCTCAATGAATATTATGCGATTTAAAATTTAATGTGTATTTAAAAGCTAGGCAGTTGAACTACAACTTCCTAAATAACTTTGCCATTTTTGGATAAAAGTGTTTACTGCAGATCCGTGAATTCTTTATCATCGCAGAAGTTTACGGACAGTTTAACAACTTTTTAAATTTAACTAATGCTGATACTTAATCATTAATGAAATTAAAAATTATAATTATAGTTAGTTATAATTATATTACGTTAGCAATGATCATTACATAGTTATTTCACAAAATATGTGGTATATTCTAGACATGTGGTTCTCAACCTGTTTTGCCCATCCATTCCTTTTACCACTGATGAACATTCCCCCGTTTTCGAAAACTTGAAAAATACATGCACATGTATCTATCTACATTTAAATTTCTTTTAAGGTCACAGCAGGAAGCAGGTGAAGCAGACTGACTGCATTCCTACTCTGAAACTACGAAATCTTCCCCTTTGTTGAGAAACCCTGTCAATTATAAATATAATGTGAAACTACTATAAATAAAATTATCAATGCCCAACACACGTTTTGTAAAGCAAAAGACACCATCCAACCTCGGATAACTTTTTGTGAAGGTCTGAGAAGTCTTCAGTGTTAGTCAGTGTAAAGTGTCTTTGTGGCATGGAGGTTCTAAATCAAAGATCAGTCCGAAACTTCTTTCGAGAGACATAGTGTCAAGAGGAAGAGGGGAAGACTTTTGAAAGTGCTCCATCCCCATACTCTTCCTCACGATAGGGATAAAGATAGGCAAAGTCCACTGTCAGTTATAAGATGCCCAAATCCCACGTAAACGACAGATGCAATCCTGCGTTCCTAGCCGCGATAGAATTCATAGATTTTTTCTGATTTTATTGTAAAGCAAATGAAATAAGATGAGATGACTCTTTTAATAATAAAATAATAAATATGACTATAATATATATATAATAAATATGATAAATATGACTCTTTTTTTGCCTTTCCTTGCATTTTATTTTCTTATCTGCAGTCTTTTTATCATCTAGCAGTAGTTTGCCAGTATTGACTGGTTTGCTCTATTCACTAATACATTTCATCACCTGATACTGTGATGAAATGTCTGGCCATATTCGTCAGCGAATATACAACAGCAAAAGAATATCTACGGAGAAAGAAAGAATATCGTATTTGAGGAACATCCTGCAGCCTTTTTTGTACGCCTTTGGTATGTATTCAACCACACTTGAGGAAATCTTTGACTCCGACATTTTTTAAAAACCAGCTGACACAGTATTGAAATCTTTCTAT